AATCTATATGACTCAGCCATTGGGATTCCGAGCTGCAGGGAAGGATAAATTGGTTTGTAGGTTGAAGAAATCGCTATACGATTTGAAGCAATCTCCTCGACAATGGTATAAGCGATTCGATGGGTTCATGATCGGTCATTCGTTTATTAGGAGCCAGTTTGATCCTTACGTGTACTATCGCAAGTTTAATGGAGGTGCGTATATTTACTTATTACTTTATGTTGATGACATGTTAGTTGCTTCTACTTCCAGATCCGTGATAGATAGATTAAAGATTCAGCTTTCGAATGAGTTCGAGAAGAAGAATTTGGGTGAAGCGAAGTGCATTTTGGGGATGGAGATAGGCAAAGATAAAGACAATGGCAAATTTTGTTTGACACGGGTGGCTTATTTGAAGAAGGTTCTATAGCGGTTCAATGTGAGCATGAAAACAAAATTAGTTTGTGTATCATTAGGAGCCTATTTGAAACTTTTAGATGACCTTTCACCGAAAATAGTTGAAGGTCGAGAGTTGATGTCGAAGATTTCATATGCGAGCACAGTTGAAAGTTTGATGTACGTCATGGTTTGTACGAGGCCGAATTTGTCACATGCAGTGAGCATGGTTTCGAGGTACATGCATGACCCAGATCTGGGGTCATTGGGATGCCGTGAGATGGATTTTGAGGTACATTCGAGGTACTCTCAATGTTGGTTTGGTTTTTGAGTGGGACACTAGTGGTGGACAGCTATGTATTAGATACGTAGATTCGGATTACGCTAGAGATTTGGATAAACGCCGGTCTACTACGGGATATGTGTTTACTTTGACCAATGCGTCGGTGTGTTGGAGATGCACCTTGCAGTCTACGGTGGCTTTGTCGATGATGGAGGCAGAGTATATGATGATTACGGAGGCTGTTAAGGAGGCGATTTAGCTTTGAGGACTTTTGGAGGATCTTGGTGTTTCGCAGCGATCCATCACCATTTATTGTGATAGCATGAGTGTTATTTATTTGATGAAGAATCAGGTCTTTCATGCGAGGACGAAGCATATCGACATTCGTTATCACTTTGTTCGAGATGTTCTTAAAGATGGGGATGTGGAGATTGTGAAAGTCCACACAAAAAATAATCCAGCGGATATGCTCACAAAGGTGGTTCCGAGCAACAAGTTTGATCATTGTAAAAACTTATTGTAAATTCATGATTGTTGAGGTCGTTCGCGGCCATTTGGATGAACTATGGGTGACTTGATCCCTTAGGATAAGGGTACGTAGACAACCACATTGGTGCAACCGGATTGGTGAGACGATGCAGCGGATTGGTGTCGGCTCAGTTTTGGAAAAACTTCACCGATGTGGAGAATTGAAGAAATGGCAAAGAAGAACAGAAAATTTGAAGTGCACAGGTGTGGCTACGGGTCGGTCGACCGACGACATAGGCCCGGTCGATCAACAGATTGTAGGATTACAGGGTCTGAAACCCTGTTCTGGTCGGTCGACCGAACGAGTTCGACCGGTCGACCGAAAATCTGATCGACCGAAAACGTGCATGATTACAGTGTTTGAATCCTGTTTTTGGCTGGTCAACAGCGAGAATGTGGCCGGTTGATCGCGAAGCGGGTAATTGGGCTGGTTTATTTTTCCCAGTTGGTTTTGGATTGGTGTTTGATATAAATACAAACACGTTTTTTAGGGTTTCTTTATCAGAGAAAGGAGAGACTATTGAGCACTTTGAGAGGGAGATATTGTGAGGGAGTTGAGAGCTTTGGTTAGGATTATATTTGAGTAATTTTGTGAGTTGTAACCCGTTGTATTTCTTCTTCATATAGTGAAATCTCCCCCATCCTCTTCCCGTGGACGTAGGCAATTGCCGAACCATGTAAATATTTGTGTTTGGTTTGATTTATGTCGTATTGTGGTGGATTGCACTCGTGTTTTTTATTTGGTTCCCTTCTCTCATAGCACGCCGACTCATTTGGTTGTCGAGCACGTTTCTGCACGGCGCGCAACATTGTAGCCTTAACAACCAACTCATAATCTTAACAACCAATTCATTAGGTTAACAAACAACTCATAACCTTAACAACCAACTCATAACTCTCTACCAATGTTAACATCAAACTCATAACCTTAACAACCAACTCATAACTCTCTACTGATGTTAACATCAAACCCATGAGGTTAATAACCAACTTATAACCTTAACAACCAATTTATAACTCTCTACTGATGTTAACAACAAACTCATAAGGTTAACAACTAACTTATAATCGTAACAACCAACTCATAACTCTCTACCGAGGTTAATAACTAACTCATAACCTTAACAACCAACTGATAACCTTAACGGCCAACTCGTAACCTTAACAATCAGCTGACAACCTTAACAACCAACTCATAACCTTAACAACCAATTCATAAGATCAACAATCAACTCATAACATTAACAACCAACTTATAACTCTCTACCGATGTTAACATCAAACTCATAAGGTTAACAACCAACTTATAACCTTAACAACCAACTCATTACCTTAATAACAAACTCATTACCTTAACAACTAACTCATAAGGAAAATAAAGTGTTTAAAATACTTGATATTTTTAACCAGTATCACCCTCCACAAATAAACTAGTCACATAACAAACCCATTAGCCAAGCCAAACCCAGCGTTTTATAAACTCTGCTCCAATCTCAAGTCATCGATTTCAAAAAAAATTTACCACATTAGGTTGTTAACCTCTGTATAGATTGTATAAAACCATAGCAGAATAATCATTTTCATGCTAAAATTGTTGGAATCTTTATTTATTTGGTAAATAATAAAATTTTGTAATGATAAGTCAATTCTCTTCAGAGTTAGATTTGATCTTGGTGGTTACTATTCTAATTAATGGAAAAAACATTTGAAGAGCCTATCATGTAATGTAGCTAATGAATGATTAAATTTTTAAAAAATAAATAAAAATACGTTTTTTAACTATATATTTCTTCTTCTGTTTGTGAGATTGTAGATAAAGATTAGGTTCCAGAGATATATGTTTATAATACTTATGAATTTGCATCTATCTTTCATGCTTCAAGGCTCTGATTTTTATCCCGCCTTCTTAATTTGACTATTTTGAATATTTTCTCATTTTGAAAAAACTCCAGCAGGCTCCACCCTATTTCTAGCTGGAGATATAAATGACATTGATTCTTTAAGCTTTTAATTAATTCATAATTATCTTGCTTACCATTCCAACGAGAACTATCTATATAATCTATCATCTTGCAACAACTATTTTGTACTTTTTTTCCCCTCTTGATCTTCTTCTACTCATCAGAGGAAAATGCTTTTCAATAAGAAGTAAGCGCAAGCATGTAAATATTTCACTTATATTTTTCCTACAACGCTCATCTCTCCATCTTCTATTATTTACACGTATCCTTTAAAATTCAAATTCCTAATCATTTGTTCCCTTTTCTTATATGCAGTTTTTTTTGGCTTGCATATTTCATTATCAATAAGGGAGTTCCACCATCAAAAATTTCTCCATCATCCTCAAATACTTGTTGGGGAAAAAAAATCATTACATTCAAAGCTGGTGAGATCAATTACGAGATATGGGAGATGAATTATTTTTCCGAAAAATCCTTCTACCCAAATAGTCAACTTATGTTGAACATACAAAGTGACTTATTGATGAAACTCGAGCTAAGAGCTGTCTCATGTGTGGGATATTGATAAAAGGAATTATGAAGTACGGATTTGAGATTTCCACCTCCTTATCTTCATTATGTACGATGGAATATTCATGTCACTGTGAGGGGCAATCACTTCGTAAAATTCGATGGCTAGAAATTGAGATGCCTTTTTTTTATCATAAAAAGAGTCGGACCACATTGAAATGTTATGTTACACTTGAGATACTAATTTGCGAGTTGTGTTTATAAACAAAATATTAGAATCAGGTTCACATTTATGATTCTGGTAATTGTAATTTTGAATTTTACGTCTGATGTCAATTACGTGGGCCTATGTGGATTGAAATTAATGTTTTGTTTTTTTTTCTTCTTCTCGATATTAATTCCTTAAAATTTTCATACTTTGAGATTAGTATTTCAAATCATGAAATTTCTATTAGGTTGTTCTATTCTTAAGTAATTCTAAAATTAGCTTCTCAAATATAGAAATTGCTATTACATTCCCCAACCCTCATAAGTTTTTCAAATTAATCCCTTTAACTGACTCCCACTCTTGAATGAAGAGACTAATATAAGAATCGGATAACCTAATAGCAATTCAATAATTTATGGGACTTATTTCTAAAACATGAAAGATTCACGGGAGTAGTATCAAGGAGATCCGGTGGAGACGGTTCATGCCACTAAATGTGTACTCAAAAGGCCAACCGTTGGATCTGCGCATGAGTCTCAAAATCTAATGATCGAACGGTTAAAATTATTTATGTGCACACTTAACGGTATAGAGCCAAAAGCACTTGATAATTTTTCCTCGAAGAAATTTTCAAAACCGACCCAAATCATGTTTTTATTTTCAAAACCGACCCATTTTTTTTATTTATCAAAATCGACTCATTTTTTGTCACGTCAGCTTAATCTCATTTCCTAATTAGTCAGGGTTGCCAACCCCGACTATTTAGGACAGCAAAAATCGGGTTTAAGGCTTCTAATTGGGATTTAACAATCTCCTAAACAGTCGGGTTGCCAACCCCGACTGTTTAAGAATGTGATTAAGCTGACGTGCCAAAAAGTGGGTCGATTTTGATAAAAAAAATGGGTCGGTTTTGAAAATAAAAACATGGTTTGGATCGGTTTTGAAAATTTCTTCTTTTCCCTCAAATAAAGGGATTTTACACTGTCGTAATGCTATAGACCATGGACGCGTTCCACGGGATAGTTCCACGTGAGATCACACGACTCAGTTTTCGCGGTCCAGAAATCTAAAAACTCCCGCCAAAACCTGCGGCGGCAAAATTCTGTTTCCGATACGGAACAAATAGAAACCCGACCAAAATTTCATCAGATGTCCCAAAGTTCTAAGGAAATGGATGAGCCCGACTTCCCTGATCTCGATTACAAGGTACTAGCGACCCTCTTCCTCCTCATTAAATGTGTTCATACCAAAAAAAAAAAAAAATTCAATGCTTGATGTTTGTTCTCAAACACTAAAGATTCATCTCTTGTTCTTGCCCATTTCCAGATTCGTGCTGATTGCTCGTTTCCTCTCTCGCTTCCTTCTCGTTCGTATCAAATACCCAAGTTCTTTGTTTTTGAGTAATTCTTGAAACCGCTCTGTTTTATTTCGATTTCTATTCGCTGTGAGTTTATTTTCAGAGCCTCCGGACATCCGGGACTGGTTCTCGAGCTACCAGTACGAATCTCCCGACCCCTCCCATCCTTCTCACGATCTCGACGAAACCCAGGATCCATTGGGAGGTTTTGAGATTCAGCAGCAAGAAGGTCCTCCTAAATTTAATAAGGTAGCATCTAGCTACTTTCCTTTTCTTCTTCCTTGTCTAGATTCTTGGATAATGTTTTTGTAATTTTGCACTTGTGAGAGTACAGGACGAACCTCGTGTTAAAGATGATCGCGTTTTATCGGAAGACGGCCAAGATTTAGTAGCGACAACCAAGAGGAGTGACGATGAAGAGAACGGAAGTGCTCAGGAGGAGATTTTGAAAGTGCCCGTGGCAGGGTTGAAGCGGAAACAAGCGGTAAGGCGTGTGCTCGGAGAGACGTGCACGAATGACGATGGCCTCACCGCGAACGAAAACAGCAACAAATTGAAGGTTGGGGAGGGCACGTTGCAGAGAGAGCAATCGCCGAAGAGATGTCGTAGCGGAGAACTCGCTGCAAGTGCCTCAAAGGACGGTTTTATTTCCACAAAGAGAAGGGAAAGAAGTCGTCCGCCGACGGCCGTCTCCGTAAAAAATCAAGAGAATGTGGAAGCCACGAGCGGGGTGAAACGGGGAGGGAAATGTGAGCGTTTGATGAGAGAGGAACTGAAAGAGAAGAATGGGATTCTGGCAGATAAAACCAACGTTCAGGTTGAGGTTGAACAAGGGAATGCAGGAAAATGGCAGTGCCCGAGGAAGAGAAAGCCGTATGATGCGCCGCCACTGAAGCAGCTCAGGCTTGAACAATGGGTCCGTCGAGTGAATTAGCGCGAGCTATCTCTAGCCCCCACTGTTCGTCCACTTGGAAAATCATCAGAATTTTGTTACAAGTTTTCTCACTACTTGTATTAATATCAAAATTTTTCATTGTTTACATTTGACGCACTGGATAACAGTTTTTTTTTAACCGTATATCGACATTACTCACTAGAATTGGTATCTTTTCTGAGCTATCCTGTATGCAATTGTTACAGTTTCTTTTCTTTTCTTTTCATTCTGGTGATACAAAACATCAGTAGTTATCTCATAGTACTCATTGGTTATAGTAAGGCTGTAACAATTGCATACTGGCAAGATATATTATCATTATGGGCGCAGAATGAATGTACTCATGTTATACATTTATAACGTTAACAACAATACCAGCAATAAGCGGGTAGAAAAAGCATTTGATAAAAATGCTGAGTGCAAGAAAACAGATAAAGAGACATTAATAAGTGCCCTCGAGCTGATTGTTGCTACTATATATTAGTCCATCAACAACACCTGCAGACATGACACAGGACGTAATAATACAAGTAAGTGAACGAAGTGAAAGCTGGTAAACTACAGCCAATACGTTGATATCAGCATAGCATGGATTACTGCTGGATGATCAGCAAAGCAGGGATTACTGCTGGCTGACTACACAATACTCAAAAGGAGATGGACTTCACATTTGTTATTTCTTTACATTTTCCGAGGATGAATAAGTTGTCAACAAGCACTTAAAGTTACGAAAGGGCGACACAAGATAACGATTTTGAGATACAGCACTGAAGCAGGAAGGGAGAAGGATGGACGTGCATCAACTGTACAAAATTTCTATTCAATTAAATTCATCTATGCTGCAGAAAAGTCTGTCACTTTTGTACAGAAGCAAGTAGAGAAAAAGAAGAGAAACCTTTATCCCAATATTTGGGTGAGAAAAAGTTTGAATTTCATCATATGCACAAAAAGTTGGGAAAGATCAGAATTAGTTATGACTTCGGCTTGAAACTCTCAAGACTGAGCAGATGGGACTTCAGCATTGCATGTTCATGCCTCATTCTCTCCAGTTGAGTTTCTACCATGAACATTTCTTCCTTGAGATAGTCTACACGTTTCTCCATCCACTCTATGTTCTCTGCTCTGTATCCACTAATACCGCTAATTTGATTCCCGTGATTAATTACATGAACTTCAGGCACTCTCGTCAGTAGAATGATGATGCTCATCTGCGAGCAATGCAAAAGGAATATGAACTGTCAGAGACCATATCTGCAAAATGTGATATAAGTTTACTATAAAATGAAATGTATGAAAGAATGCGTGATATCCTTCTGGTTATACAATTTAAAGCTCATCAGAGCAAGAAGCAGCGGCACCTATTAAATTTTCTTAGTATAATGGGTAGGGGTGGGAGTTTATCTAACTATCAAACAGTTTAATTATTATTCGTCCAAATTCAATTATAGATATCACTTAAGAGAAATCAAATAATTTTAGTATTCGAATATTAAACAAATTAAATATGAACACTTGCATGTTCGATTTTATTCATAAAATTTGATCTCTTACAACTTGCACAATTTACATGATTTATGTTTTTTAATCTCCCATACGTTTTTAGTTTGAATTCTATACTAATTTTGAGATGACTAAACAGCCCGAAATTAGTTTTTACCCAAATATTCAAATTACAGATTTTTACATCATAGTTACAAAGAATCATTTTCAATTTTGGTTTTATGTTATTTAAAAAAATTCAAATTCTTTGAAAATTAAAGCATCTCTCTAACACAGAAATAAATATTTCTTTTAATTAAATAGTTCAGTATGCAAAAACTATAAAATGGTAATCAAATACATGTATTAAAGTATTCGTGTCCAAATTTCTATTCAGAGAAAGATATTTGAATGCAGATTCAAATTCGAAATATTTATTCAATTCATTTTCAGCCCTACTAACAGGAATAGAAGATAAGATGGTAAGTTTTCTATAGTGAATTATCTTCAACTATTATTTTAAGGAATTTCAGATAAACAGTAATTACTAACCAATCTTACTATCAGGAAAAAGACATATGAGGTGGAAAAAATAATCTTGAGCTTAATGTGACAGACCAAAAGTTAAAATTGCTCGTGAGAACTTTTCACTCATTCAACATGATATTTAAGCGAAGGTTTGCATGCATAAATAGTTTTTCTATATTAACGAAAAATAGAAGGAATAGAAAATCTCACGAGCTTTTCACTCATTCAACATGATATTTAAGCGAAGGTTTGCATGCATAAATAGTTTTTCTATATTAACGAAAAATAGAAGGAATAGAAAATCTAAGAGAACTTTCCTGCATTAGGATAAGAATGGCAACAACTGCCACTGCTAGATAAAGCGGAAACTGACTTCGAATTCTAGTATTTGACAGCAAAGTAGCCCATGATCCTTTAAAAAAGGAAACCACTGATGTAATTATCGAGTACTCTTGCACAGGACAGTTAATCCTTGAGCCACTATTCCCCAGAAGCACTGTCTGGGGGGCCACTGAAGGATTCACAGTTGGACGCAAGTTTTCTGCTGATCCTTCGTGTCCTGAAGAACTTCCAGCTCCTTCATTCTGATCCTGAATCATATCTGCATTCCGATCAGCAATCCCTGTATTATACATAATATTAGGAGCAACATTCACAATTTGTTACAATATATAATGTTAACAAAGATCCAACTTTAAGAGTCAAACCTTTCTGCTTCACCTCATTCTTTTGCTTCAATAGTTCATGGGCCTACACCAATTAATACTACACCATCAACTTTCACTTATGGGTAATTGAGAATATCAACACGAAAAGGGAAATAAAAATAAAAATGCAAATAAGAAAAGTTGATACATTGTTGATCCAAATTGCATGAACTTCCCGCAGCTCATCTTTTGTTGATTGCTCTATTTTACCTGTAAAAGTAGCAATACGCAACGCTCAAACCTGTGCATGAATAAAATAGTTGCATGCCACAAAATCAGAGGTTAAAAGTAGAACTTAAAATTCGTGCAGCTCAAGTTAGTTTACTGAAAACAGTAGTAATTAGAGCTTAAGATTAGTGCAGCTCCAGTTAGTTTACTGAAAAAGTAGTTAATTAGCCATTGACGAGTAAACACACACATTTCATAACACGCTTAATATGTTAGTATGTAATGAAATCAGAGGATTGGGTTCACTCGACAAACTTTGTAGCTGGACTTTTAACTTCCGTGTTTGGACTCAAAATCCTGAAGAACTTGAGCTGGATGGATAAGGCATAGACTAATTTTGGTAGCAGCTTCCAAAACCAAGCCCTTTAAGATCAGAAATTCAGAAAATTTACCAATCACGGTCGTTAGCACCCCCTCTACCAAACAGCATAAAAGCTGTGAGTTCCAAATTTTCTTTCTGGATTTTAACTCACACAATAACAAACAAGCACATATGTGAGAGACACGATTGCTCGAGTTATCCATAACAGAGGCAGTAGACTCAAAAAAAAAAAACCTGAAATTGATTTGTATGCTTCTGATAATTGCTGAAAATATGTCAAGATTTCAGAAGGCAAAAGTGCAACAATTCTAGGAGTGTCATGTTATGTAGTCTTTTATAGATTAAGCCAAAAGAATGTTAATGTCACTATATTTGTTGATAGTCCAGCATATGTAACAATAAGGACATCTGGCACTGATACTTTGAAACTTGATATATACCTGCATTAGATGCACATCAGTATTTGGATACATGTGATATCTTGAGGTATAAATTTGTACCCATACACTAGGACATTGACATGTGCAGTAGAAGTGCAAAATATTAAATTTTTGCCAAATTAATTCTCCATTAGACATACTAATAGTTCCATAACGATTTAATTATGTAATGTTATTATAGAGTTCGATGTAGAAAATGCATCCCAAACTGTCATTTAGCAATTAAATCAACAAAAATTCTTAACACAAATTTGTTGAAAAGTTTCCTTATTAAGGGTAATATAATAGGAGCAAGTGACTAAAAATATGGGGAGTATTCCAATTTAATTATGTGATTTTAATCTAATTGTGAGTTCAAATCATATTCTCATGTCATGAGTTTAGAATGTTCTCAAGATAAGGAATAAAAACATAAAGAGAAAAAAAATCTTTTCCAAAATTACAATTTTACCCCCACAATTACTATAGGAAGGAGGACGTCCCCCATTCATCAAAATTTTCACTACCGTCACTAAGTTTATTATATATTAGTATAGAATTATAGATATTCGAGATGAACCTGAGAATGAGAACTAAAAAAACAAATGTCTAAGCAATGAATTCACAATTCTGTTTGATTTGTTGATCCATTAAAGCTTGTAAAAAGGAATCTAATTTTTCACATAACTTTGGTATATATAAAGAAATATTTCATGACATCTGAAATAATTGCCCTTATAATTGTTCTAGCCTTACAAATCATGCTACGAGATAATGAAGGTTACAACACATTTGCACTCCATAACCACATTGTAACCGTATCTTGAACTTTTTCTGGAATCATTGCGTCTACAGAGTCAAGCATGTTGCTTTGTACCCTGTATCTGTCTCACACATCATAAGTAGCAGATTTTAATGATCATTAAAACTTATATAGATCACTATGTTTTTTGATAAGTTTCTCTTATGCGTTGCCCCTGGACAGAATATGAAGTTACAACGAGTTATCCTACCTTTTTCTTTTTCCACTTTTTTGTTTTATAAATCCCTTTCTTCTTTTTAATGTTTTCCCTTCTCTCTCAAAAGTTTCTTAACATTTTACCAATACATCCAAACTCTGAAAGGAACTAAGGTAAGTTTCCCTTGTTTTTAGTCACGCATCATGTCAGACCCTCGTATATATGACAACTGGCCAGGAAAATTAGGGCTGCAATCTTCATAAATCATAACCTTAAGCACTTAAGACTAAGAAAATCACGAAGTCCTTGTACCAACACTGCTTGTCAAGCATGAACCTCAGAGTGTTTTTTTTGTCACATATTAATGATAGCATACATTGTGTGTGCTTCCAAATAGGAAATTGACTATCTATGAAATGTAAATGAACTTACACATGATTTATTTTTTAAACATCATTGCAAATGAGTGGAAACATTATTAAATGGATAAGAAATTAACTAACATAAAAAGGGAACAATATAAATAAGGGTGCAGCCTATGAAGCACGGACACAGACACGGTGACACGGACACGACACGGACACGGCAAAACCCAAAAAAATCGGACACGGCGACACGGTTAGATTTTTTTAATATTATTATTATATATAGATCAATATTGAATTAAATTCCTATTACATTTTCATATCTTTTTGTTATGTAAAGTGGAGATTATAAATAAGAAACTAAAGGAAAATGTGTGTTGCAGGTGTGAATTAAGACGTCGGAATGACAATGATCTCTTGGAGAATTGAAGACAATAATGTTAAAGAAGACAAGAAAGAGAAGATGAATATATAGAAAAATAGATCAAAATTTTTATGCTATATTATTATGTAACATTGGCAAGGTTATCGATAGCGGATAGCATCGCGTAGCGGTGAGACATCGCTAAGGCTATTTCGGGCTATTACGGCAAAATAGTGGTAAAAAGCACAAAATCAAATAGCGGTCTAATTTAGATATGTATAAATATTAAATACTAAAAAAGAAAAATTTAAAAAAAATCTAAGAAATCTAAAAGTACATATTGGATAATTTAAAGAAATCCTAAACATGAAATAGACATGTAACCATCACGTAATACCGAAGAGGACTGGAGGAGTCAAAAAGTCGTTTTCGAGAAGAAGAGCTTAGCGGTGACAAGACTGCCCTAAGAGGAACTCACGGTGAAGGAGATAAGAGGAAGTATCAAGGTAGGTGTTAGAGGCTACGAGAGGTGGCGGGAGTATGCTGAAAATCACAGGAGACGATAAAATGCAATGGTCAAGGGTTGAGTTTAATTTTAAAAATTTAAGCCTCAAACCGCTTTTAAATAGCAGTCAAAAAGCAAAATTCGAATGCAATAGTTCACTATTTACCGTTATGACACACTATTGACCACTTTTGTGAACAGACATATTCTGTAATATGTCATTGCTATTGCGTGATAGCGTAACGGGCGATAGCGTCGCGGGAAGGGACCACTAACGCTATTAGCGCCGTTATTATAGGGCTATTTACCGCTATTTATAACAGTGAACATTGGCTTGTATAATCAATGACACATGTAAATTATGTAACTGATTTGAAGATAATACCAAATTTTAATTTTTATTACTTTCATCTTGAGCATATCAAAATACAAGAGAATAAAGTTCAATTTACAACTAGTTCCATGGCTACAAAATACTAAGTTACTAACATTGCAAAAATTATAACCAAAAGTGTATCTTAAAAATAAAGTTCTCAAATTAAAACATCAAAAGATCATTCTATGGTTTTAACTCCTTCATCCTCCTCAAACACAACGGTCTCCATCGTGGGCTCGTCAAGAGAAAGGGTGGCAACATCTAAAATACCGACCCTTGAAATGAGTCAAAGGCATCTCCACCAACATTTCACATTCTTGATTTCCTTTCCATATACTCTTCCGAACTTCGAGAAAGTAAGTGAAGGTTGGTGTGAACATAAACAAGATCCTCCGCACGTGCCGATGTTAGCTTGTTCCTCTTTAAGGAGTGAATGAAACCATACGTACTCCAATTCCGTTCACAACAAGAAGAGGAATAAGGTTAGCCTAGAAGTTTTATGGCCAATGATTGCAAATTTGGAATACTTGCACCATAAAGAAACCACTATGACTTAGGATCCATATGTGCTCTATCGGAAAGAGAATCCGGATCACTAAAAGCCTCCAAAGCCCCCACAAACTTAGCATATTCCAAGTTCACCGCCCATCGTTCATTGGGATTTGGATAGTATATTCTTAAGCACTTTGCTCTTTTTGTAGAGATCTCAAGATCTTGATTTGGAGCTTGCCGATTGACGTTCTCATTGAGCCATGTGGAATGATAGTACCTATGATCGTTAATAACATGAATTAGCCCACAAGGTATTAAGTAATAGAAATATTCGCTTAAAGAGTAAAATGTGAAATATTACCTTGGAACTAAAGAGTGTGCTAAGCACTAAAACGGGGTGTTGCTATTGTTCCATCGATCCACCAAGATCTTGTGAATCACCTCATAAAAAAGAGATTCCTCGTTATCCCTTTTACCCTCATGCCTATAAATAGCTTGCTTCACCTTCTCAATCATTGTATCTCACATATCATACACCAAATGAAGACATGGTGTATCGGTGTCGGTGATCCATCATTTCATAGATTGGGCCAGTGAAGTCAAGAATAAAATCTATCTTGTCCTATCACAAATCATCGAGGACTTTCTCTTTCACAAATTGAGCTTTTCCGACATCATCTTTTCTATACAAGCTCCATCGATCACTAAGGACCATATCTTGGAGACCTCTCTTGACGACTTTAAAAATCTTCAACATAATAACCCACGAGGCAAATCTTGTGTCGGCAATCGATAGGAGCTTCATCTTGGAATAATCATTAAACATGGAAAGCAAATCTTGTGTCGGCAATCGATAGGAGCTTCATCTTGGAATAATCATTAAACATGGAAAGCCGCATAGAGTGATTCATGATAAAATTCTTAATAATCATTAAACATGGAAAGCCGCATAGAGTGATTCATGATAAAATTCTTCATAAATAATGCATCATCAGAGATCTCTGTAATCTAATGTAATTGTGCATAAGCTATGGCATTTGCTTCCGTGTTCTTAGCCGCAAAAATATTCTTGATAGAAAGATTTAAGTGTATGGATTACACAAGGAGTCCAAAATATGTGAGGTCGGGTGCCCTCCACAAGCCCTCTCGCGGCCTTGCATGTCGAAGCATTATCGGTTAT